TTCCTTCCTTCCTTCCTTCCTTCCTTCCTTCCTTCCTTCCTTCCTTCCTTCCTTCCTTCCTTCCTTCCTTCCTTCCTTCCTTCCTTCCTCTTCCTGTCCTTCTTTTGCTGTTTTTGACAGCTTATATTAGAAAAATTATGCCCTAAGTTAGTAATCAACCTCTAAAATGTGGATATACCTCAAAGTGGATACAGTTATTCTCTGCTATCCATTTCAGAGGATATACAAGGGTAAATTTTTCTTAAAATAAGCCATATAACAAATTATTCCTATCCTGAATAAAATATCCTTGAGTTAATGATTTGCAAACTTTATGAGCACAGAGTGAGAACAAAAGAAATGTAAAAAATATTATAGATTCATAAGTATTTTATTACAATGAATGAACTGCTTACTCTCCAGTCTCACTGTCCGATTATAATGATTTGTTTCTAATATGAGGATAATTTTGTTTCTCTAAAAAAAGAAGCCATTAAGTTTAGTGTTATCATTTATTCACAGTTATATTTTCTAAGGAGTTTAAATCCAACAATAAATTTGTTATTTTCTTCTCTGTTCTGTCTTGCTCCAGAATATATTCTATGTATGATGAATACACACAGATACGGATACATATACATATATATATGGTCTAATGAAATTCTCTTTAGGGCAATTAAATAGTTTCCAGAAGGCAGGAAAAGAGCAAATAAATTCGGATAGGCAATAAAGGTACCTGCATGCATGCTTGCCTTCAGCTTCTGGAATACTCGCAGAATTCATCTACAAAACACCTAGAAGATAGCGATGAAACCAAAAAGTCTATGTGTTTGTTTTTTTTCAGAAATGAATCATTTCAATCCCACCAAACTTTTGTTGTTGTTTTCAGTACAGTGACAGGTCTTGGGGATAAGAGAAAATCAGACTATATACTTCAGCATGACCTTAGTGAAATTTCACAGTCTCACATGATAGTCTCATGAGAGAAAAAGCAATAGATGCTCTAGGTGAAGTTTGCTCTGCGTGGGATGGAAAGCTAGTTGGAAATCCTTACTTAAAAGAAAAGTTATTAATCACTGTCAAACTAGGAGGATGTATAAAATGCAGTTCAGATATGTCTTTCTGAGGAATGACACAATTCAATATTTCTAGAATTGTCATGGGTGAGGGATGAAGAGTATTCTTATTAAATTGGCAGATAATACAGATATGAGAAGAAGTACAAATGCACGGCAAGAAAAAAATGAATTTATTGTGATCTTGACAAACCATAATAAATGAGCGTGGGATCTTTTTATCTGAACACAAGTGCTCAGGGTTGGGGGGAGCTTTTCAGATTCTAAAATGAGTATTCTCATTTTTTCCATTTTCACCATTTTTTTTTCCTTTGGGATATACCCACAGGCATGAGGAAGGTACTACTTTTCCCTTTCCCTTGCAATCACTCTGTAATCCTTGCCTTATTCAGACATAAATATGGCTCATCAAATCCATAAATGATCCTTCAGTTCTGATCAGATCTTTCCATTCACATCAGCCAATTATTTCAAAATGTGCAATCCTGTGGCTTTGGATGTTTCTCAAGAAATATGAAGTAAAAAGTGAAATATTATTGCTTTAATCTGTATATGGCATAAACTGACAGCGCTAGGAATACTGTGTCCAATTTCGTTATCCATGTTTTTAAAAGGAAATGCATTACTCATCCACATGATGGATGAGAATCTGAATATTTGTCCCCAGACACATGCAAGGAGGACTAGGGGAGACAGTTAGTCTTGAAATTTAATCAAAACTGGGTTTTGTCACTTCATTGAGAATTAGCAGGTACTGACATCTGGAGAATCAACGTGCAAGAGGAAATCACATCCCAAAGCAGCACATCCCAAACCTAAGCTGACTAAAGAAGAGCCTCAAATTTCTGTAAAACTACAGCTCAGCTGCTTTTTATTTGCTGCCTACCACTATCCTTGGTATTATTTGTACTTCCAAAGTAATAGGAAACATACATTTGTGTGTATTTTCCTGCCTCTGATTCATTAGTGTATTTTCAGCACACACGGATCAGAAGGCTCTCTCCAGTCT